CAATCATGTTTAGGAGTTGTTATTCAATTTTCCCGCGCCTCATGATGATTTGTTCTGATGTATACAAGGCCCTCCGCCCTCCCCAAAAAGTGTACTTAAGCAGTGCTCAGCCCCTGCTCGGGGCTCTGGGCTGCTTTCCCTTCTTGAGCCCCAGCATGCTGGTTCAATAAATCCCCCTTCTGCCTATTGCATGAGTGGTCACTTGGTGGTCTCTTTCTCCGACATTTCGCGGGATCCTTACACCTAGAGTTCCCGTGAGTGAGTCCGGTTGAGCTCTCGCTGGGATTCCTGGAGAGTTCGCTTTGCTTGGTGAGGTTCTGGTGGAGGGAGTTCTGGTTGGTGTGTGCTGTTCCTGGAAGGGCCGCGTGGGTGGCATTCGCGGAGTTCGGGCAATAAAGGAGTTCCTGTTTGAACCTACAAGTGCCTCCTGGAGGCTTGGTTATTTTGTGCCCAGCCAGACTGCGGCATTGTATGATTCTGAGTCTCACATACCAAGCCCCTAAACACGTACTAGACATTGATTTTGGCAAGGGATGGAAAGAACATGCAAAGCCCCTATGAATGGAATATTTTTGCAAATCTTTCTCTTCTCAGAAATCTGTTTCATTGTACATCTATGGACTTTAGATAATGGGAGTGGCTGGAAAAACAGCCATCCTGACATGATGGTGGAAAATAGGAAGCAGGAGCAAAACTAGAAATCTGTTTCTAACTTGGCCATGAATATTGTGACCTTGTTCACAACCCTGTGTCTGAGCCTCAGTTTCCTTATCCATAAAATAAGTGATGGGTAAGATAATAATCAAGTTTCATTCTTGGAGTTACAGCTGTATTTATACTTTTAGCATTCTCTTTAACATTTACAGACACCATAGTATCTCCTCATTTTGATCCTCACAATAAATCTACAAGGTAGTAGATCTGGCAGACATACTTATTAGGCTTATTAGACAGATGATGTGTTGAGGCTGAGGAATGGAAGGTGTTTGCTCAAGATTTCATTAAAAATGAAACTCTTCCTCCTGATCCACAATAATCAGCAGGAGGCTCAAGCTTGTGGACAGATATATAAGATATGTAAAGGGTATAATTGTTAGATGGACTTGTGATTTCTCTAGGTTTACATTGCTGGTCTATCCTTTGATGTGACTGCTTTTACCTGTCGGGTGTTCTGTAATGGTATAATTTACACTAAATGTATTAAATAGGCAACCTTAAGTATTACCTGGGTGGAGGGAGGTGATGGGCAAGCAGAGATGGACAAGGAAAGGGCAAAGAATTAAAAGTGGAACAGCCAGACACTAGTGTAAGTACTCCACCAGTATTACTTAATTCTCATTGTTAATCCTAGGAGGAAGGTTTCTTACTATGCACATTTAACAAATACTGAAACCAAGATCTAGAGAAGTTAAATAACTTGTCCAAACTAAAAAGTGTTGGAGCCAGGATGTGGACCCAGGCAATCTGATTTCTGATTTCAGAGTTTGTACTCTAACTATTCTTCTATTAAGGTCATGAGGCTTTGTGAGCTGCTCTAACAAAAAGTCAAAATAAAATAAAATAAAGAATGTCCTCCCAAAGCTAGCAAGATTTCAGAGGAATAAAGGAACTTACATACCATTGACGATGACTTTCATCTTTTTAAAAAGTAATATGTGGGGCTGGGCTTTTGGTGCACGCCTGCAATCCCAGTGGCTAAGGAGGCTGAGGCAAGAGGATCACAAGGTCAAAGCCTCAGCAACTTAGGGAGATCCTAAGCAACTCAGTGAGACCTTTTCTCTAAATAAAATACAAAAAAGGTCTGGGGACGTGGCTCAGTGGTTAAGCACCTCTGGGTTCAATTCTCAGTAGAGGGGGAGATAAATAGCAATATGTGGCAAGAGCTATAATGCTTTCTATATTAATTTAGGAATGCTGATCCTAGAAGTGTATTCTATAGCTCTGTTGGTAGAGTGCTTGCCTTGCATGCATAAGGCCCTTGGTTCAATCCCCAGCACTACACACAAAAAAGAAATATTCTAAGTTTATAGTTCCACAAAAGCAAGAAGCCATATTCATGAAGAAGTTTACTGTAATAGTGGAAAACAGGGAACATATAAATGTCCTAGAATAAGGTATGATCAAGTAATTTCACAATATATTCACTTGTTGGAGTATTATGCGAACATTTAAAATGGCAATTACAAAGATTTGTAGAAGATCAGGAAAATGTTCCCTATTTAATATTTTAAAAACAGGATAAAAATATGTAGATTATGATGACAACTCTGATATGAGTATGTATATTAACAAAGCTTGAAATAGAATAGGAAAAAATTCTAGTAGTTAGATGTTAAAGTCATTCCATTTTTTTTCCCACATTTGTATTAGTGGTGGCATTGTGTCTATTTAACAGATAATGAAAAGAAGAAAAAGCTGGTGGCAGTCATGGGTAGAAATGATTGTCTCAAGTGACCATTGGGTGGATTCCCTTTGGCTCCATCCTTGAGTTCTGGAGGCAGCCAGAGGGGTTCAGGGTGGGGCTAGGGGTGAAAAACCAGCCTCTATCTCAGAGCAAAGCCTGTCCAAGGAAGGGCAATGGCCTTTGTCCTTGGAAAAACCCACAGAGCACTCCTAGGCACATTCCCACCCAGCTAAGTTGTTTATCTACAAATAACAGGAGAGATCTGCTGCGCCAGGTGTCCCTGACTCAGGCTAGGTGGGGATCCATAGCAGCCCCCTAGCAGCCACCAATTAGCATGAGACAGGGAAATACCTGGGATGCCAGATGACCCTCCCAGTAGTTTATGGTGGTTGATAACAAGTTGGGAAACCATGTAGTTCAGCACATACACCCCTTTTGGCTTAAACCAATCAGTTCAAATGAATACCCCTTTTGTACTGACCAATCACCCCTACCCAACTTGTTCCCACCAGTGAATATGCTAATCATGTTTTAGAGTTGTTATTTGATTTTCCCGCGGTGTGTGATGATTTGCTAAAAGAGGCTATGATGTATGTGAAGTCCCTGCCCTCTCCAAAGAATGTATAAAAATGCTGCAAACCCTGGGTTCGGGGCCTCTCAGCATCACCAGTTGCTGTGTGTGTGCGCGGAGGACCAAGCTAGCTCGCAATAAACACCTCTTTGCTGCTTACATCGATCTTGGGTCTCTGGGGGTCCCGAATTCGAGCATAACAGGGGCTGGGGCTCGATGGATCCCTGAGCTTGTGTAGGAGAGAAATGATTCTGCCCTGCCACTGCCTCTGTAACTACGGAAACAGTCTAGGCCAAACTTGTCTTCCCTTTGCTTCACCACACATCTCTGATTCTTCATTCAAGTCTCAGAAGTCTTACAAGACGTTTTCTTGGAGTCAACTCCAACTGCTCCCCCAACTCCCACACACTGGCAGCCTTCCCCATGCCCTGTTTCTGTGGCCCATCTCAGCACATAGCAGGCTGTGGTGACTGCCTGATGACATTATTGAAGGCTCCCTCTCCGCTACCAGGATTGGGATCCCAAGCTGATCTGGATCTCCTCCCTGTACCCTGACTCATGCTCAGCATGGACTGCAGGAATGGCCCTTTCTCCTTGTCTCTAAGAGTGGGCAGGCTGGGTGGGGTTAGATTCTTTCCAGCTTCACATACTATGTATATCATCTGTTTTTAGCAAACTCTTTAAATAAAGGAATCATTGGGTTTTGAAGAGAAGCCCCAGAATAGGAAATGTCTGTGGATGGGCCCCCAAGTATTCCCTGGCTTTGGTGTGGACATTGAGTCTGGTCTATGGTTGAGTTGGGGGTTTTCATGGCAGGTTGACCAAGTGTGCATGAATATGCCCTTAACAGTCCACTTGAGAAGAGGGCTTCAGGATGAGGGGTCTCACTTGTTTTGTGAGTACCCAGATGGCCAGCCACAGTCACACATGACATGTTAGCTGTGCTACCACAAGTGAATCTGCAGGAGCCCCGATTGATTCACATATCTGCCTGCAGACTGTGGAAGTGGGTGTGTCTGTGCATATGGTTGGGTATGCCTGTGTCAGAGTCTGCGCTGGGTAGCCCTGAGTTGTGGACAGTGTGTCAGTGTATGGACTGTGAGCACACATCTCCGTGAATGTGTAGTTTTCAATTCAGCAAATTATTGGGAGCTTTCTGTTCTGCAAGAGCAAGACTGTGGTGTGTCAGCCTGAGTGTACAGTCTTACCTGTGTCTGCATTGTGTGTCCCCTCTGTGTGTCTTTGGGAATGCGTTCTTGGCACGTGTCCTGCCTTAACAAGGCGTTTTTTCGCTATGTGTGTGTGTGTCTGTGCGGCAGTGCCTGAGTCCTGTTTGCAGCTGCCTGCTTGCTTTCCAGCTTCACTTGTGCCCGCAGTCAGGCACTGCACGTGCGCCAGCCTCCATGCGCACGTCCCTGAGTGACCTGTGCGCGATGTGCAGGGACCTCTGGGTCGTGTGCACTTTGTACGCTCGTGTCTGACTCTCTGCACTAACGAACGCACCTCCACATGTCTGAGAGCACGTCCTTTTCCATATGTGCACGTTCCGTGTGCACGCCGCCTGTGTGTATGTGCGTATATAGGGGCGCTGCGCGCGCGCTCCGACCCGCTGGCGTCCAGGGACCCGCACAGGGCTCCACGCGTCCCGTGGGGGTGACCCCTCCCCCGTGCGCCCCGCAGCAGGCCGCGGCGATTGGCCGCCCGCTCCCTCCCAGCCCTCACCCCTCCCTCCCCCCCGCCACCCGCGCGCCCGCGGTCCCCGCTGTCCCCCGCGGTTCCGGCGAGGCCGCGCCGCGCTGCGCTCCGCTCCCATTGGCTGCGCGCGCCTTTGTGTGGCGGCAGCTGCGGCCCCAGCGCCTTTGAATGTCGAGAGGGGCCGGGAAGGGAGCCTTTCCATGGGCCATCTGTCTCCCCGCCAGCCGCCGCCCCACCGCCGCCCGCGCCCCGCGCTCCGCCTCCCGCCCCGGCGGCTCCCGCAGCCCCGCCGCCGCCCGCGCCCGCGCCCCGGAGCCGCGCCACAAAGGGCCCGCGCGCAGCCGCCGCCGCCGCCGCCGCGCGAGGAGCCAGGATGGTCCTGGTCCACGTCGGCTATCTCGTGCTTCCAGTGTTTGGCTCTGTGCGAAACAGAGGTATCGCTTTTTCCTTTCGGGGTCTGCTTCCGAGCGTGGATCGTCGCAGGCACCGGGGCGGGGGCGGGCGCCGCGGGCGGCCGGGGGCTCAGGGCACACCCGCGAGGACGCAGGGCGAGTGGTGGCCGCTCCCCACACCCTTTTGGGGAGACCCCCGAGTGTCGGGGTGGCCGCCCTCGTGGGAGCTTTTGTAGTGAAGTTAGGGTTTGGCGAATTTGGGTCCCTCCCTCCCTAGCCCCATTTTTTATTCTTTGCGGCGGACGTGGTTCCCCCAAATCACAGCCACTTCCCCTAATACCTAGCCCTGTATGATCGAAAGAAGGAGAGATATATGACTGTGTGTGTGTGTGTGTGTGTGTGTGTGTGTGTGAGAGAGAGAGAGAGAGAGAGAGAGAAGAGAAAGCATGCTTGGTTTTCTGTAATTTGCTTTTTTTGAAGTCTATGTGTATTTTCTGTTGTGTGTGTTTTGTATTTTTTCATTTTTTGGTTATTAGTACCGATGGCTTGTGAGCTGGGATCTGGGTATCTGCCCCATCCCATGCCCCAGCCCCCACCCTCTGGTGGGCACTTGCACGATTTCCCGTCCCATCCTTTTCTCTCCTTTAACCCATTTTATGTTATTAACCTTGTGCTGTGGCCCTGCTCACGTCCCCCCCTCCCCACTTCCCAGTTGTCTTTGTATGACAGTTGCATTTACGGGTTCAAAATGCTTGTGTGTGTGTGCATGTGTATGTGTGCATGCATGTGTGTGTGCGCGCCTCAGAGATCAGACGTGCGCTGCCGTGCACCCCTGGGTCCTGCCGGAGTGGGATGTCTGGCCCTTGGGTGTTGCGCTGTGTGTGAGGGTGAGGTGGGAAGCTGCCCCCGTGCCAGGCCTTTGCCCCAGGCAGCGGTTGACCAAGCAGCAGGCCAGCGCGGGCTTTGTTTTTAACTGTGATATACGGGGTGTGTTTGCACGGTCCCCTTTTCCCACATCCCCTTTTCCTTACATTCTGCTACAGCAATAGCTTGATTTCCCCCTCTTCTTCCCCCACCCCACATTTCTTCCATTTTCTTTTAATCAAATATTCCCACCTCCCAAAGCAAATCCAAGATGCATTTCATTTTTTTTTTTCCTTTTTGTATTCTGCCTCTGGACTCACATTTCTCTTCTTGGAAATGTTTCTTCTCTCCCACTCCACGTCTGCTTAAATCCCTGCTGGCTAAGGCCCTCCTCTCCCACCCCCTCCCTCACACACAGAATGATGTCTTCCCTCTGCCGACCTGGCTCCTTCACGGAGCCAGAGTGGGGGGCGGGGTCGCAGGGCCAGCGCTTCAGTGCGCCCCAGGGGCCGGATTGGGCCAGGCAAGGAAAGCCCGGCCCTCCTCCTTCCAGCCCAGCTGTCCCCAGCCCCGCGCCTGTCCCCAGAACCCAAAAGGCAAGGTTGGCCCCCTTAGGCCTGTTTGAACCGCAGTTTTTTGTGTGATGATAGAATGATGACATTCTGCATTTATCAAATCTTTTTTTTTTCTTCATTGTGTAGCTCAGTGAATGGTCAACTCGCTGCTGTGCGCGCTGTGACCCTTCTGCCTCGCATTTAGCTGTATTGTGACACCCTCTTAACCATTTCCTGTCTCCATCTGAGGAAGGCATTGCTATTTAAGCTGCAGTATCCCCTATCTCAGGCCAGTCTAGGTGGGGGGTGAAGGGGTTTGTGAGGAAGAAGGGGGGGGGCTGCATGAGACTCTTGGAAATGCCAGCCCCCACCCCCAAAGCACAATTATCTCTTATTACTTGGCATTTCCTCTTAAAACGGGTGTGGAACATTACACTAGGCAGAAATTCAAAAATGATTAAGAAGGATGTTGAGCCTGAAAGTATAATTATCCTGATTAAATCATTATCATCCTCATTAATACCACCAATCTCTAAATACCATTGCAGGATGCGGTTTCATGTTTTGAAATTCAAATTGTTCAGCTGCCTTTAAATTTTATTTTTAATACCACTCCCCCCCCCACAAAAAAAATCCCAACAAAACAAATTCTGCCCATCAGTCAAAGTTTACTTTCATGGCAAACACGCCCACAGGAAATTTAAGGGCTGAGGGGTGAGTTGGGCTGTGAGTAAAATTTAGCACAATGTGCTAAGAAATCATGACCTTCCGATAGAGGATACTAATGCTTAACTCAACAAGGTCCTAAACCACAATCTTCTTGTAAAACTATTAGATAGTCTGCCAGCTTAAATCTGTTCCTTTTAGTATCCATTGTAGTAGTGTAGGATGTAGGCCATTTCAGAATAGATGCAGAGAAATAACCATTTTTGTATCTTCATCCTGTTTAGCCGAATACATTGCACTGTAAATCCCTGTTAAGTGGATTCCTTTTGCCTTGGCATAGAGGCTGCAGCACCCCATTTTCCAGTTGTCCGGGTAGCCATTGGCTGGCTTCCAGGCAGCACCCAGACATAACTGAGGATTGCATTTAGTTGGAGGCATAATTATTTAATATCTATCTGTTAAAAAGAAAAATCTTTGATGAAATGGCAGTTGCTGCTTTCAAGCCTCTGAAAATTTGGTATACCAAGGTCTGTGGCTTAAGGGGGAGCCGTGGCCATAGGGTCTTAATTATTTAATTGTACAATGTCAAGAGCATCTTTGGACATCTGCCCTGGCCCTCAGAACTGCCCCTTTAACAGCCGGCTCCCTTCTGCTGCTTGGCCAGCCAGACCTGCTCAAAAACTGAAACAAAACAGCAGCAATCATGAAAGAATAAGGCCCCTACTTCGAGGGCCCTTCCAAAATAAAGTCCCAAGTAGCCTCCCCAGACTGCCATTTGGCAATCTGAAAAGAAAGAGGAAAAAAAAAAGAAAGAAAGAAAAAAAAAATCTCAGCAAAATGGTTTTCCATTAAACAGGGGTAGCGTGTTCTGCTGTGCTGAATTACTTCCTGTTCTTATTTTGTGGGTAATTTTTTCTGTATCAAATATCCTTTTGGTTGTGTATCTTTTTCACCTTTTCTTGTACTAAAACTAAAGCATGATCTGTATTTTTTTACATCCCCCAGTTGACACTGTACAGCGCTCGGTTAGAGATGTTACCCCGCTGAACCGTACTGTGGTACTGTGGTCGTGCAGCCCGGGCCATCTGCTCATTGTACGCTGCTTTTGTTCTGTTGCCCTTCCGAAGCATGGTGGGCCCAGCCTTTTTTTTTGTATCGTGTGCATGACGACATTGTTACACACAGAATCCACTAATACTAATATACAATCTCTCAATAAAGAACTAGTTTTCCTATATTAACCTAGTGTGCTTTTTCTCTTGCTGTTTTCCCATTTATTGTCGTATCCCGCTGTTTAGATTTCCCCCTTGCTTTTCTATCCCCACCCCTCACCCACCACCCCCACCTCCCATTGTAAGATTTGAGTGAATGCCTTTTCTTTTTACTTTCCTTTTTTTTTTCTCTCGTGGTACAGATATGGTGACTTCAGTCTCATCTAGTCCATATCTTTTAACAATAGAAGTCTGGGGCGATGGGAGAGGTCAGTTGTTCTGTCACCCTGAAACAGCTCAGCTGCTAGAGAGAGCCCCTATCTTTGGCCACCTGTATATTCAATAGCCTCCACATTTCATGTTAGTTTCCAAGTTACACAGGCACTGAGTGTCTGTCGCTGGTGAGGGAAGGGGAGATGACACCAAGGTTGAGAAAAGGGATACTGTTCTTAACTAGCAATCTTGTAGCATTTCAGATTCGCCTGAAAAACCCATTTTGAGTTGTGTTTTAACTTTTCTGTTTCCTGTCTCATTGATTTACTGTCCTTATAAATCATGCTGGGGGTGACATGTGACATGTAGTGGAAGTCATGATTTGGAGTTTTAAAGGACCCTCTTCTATGTGCATATTTAAATTCTCAGGACCTACAGTGTAAGTTGGACATTGAGATCCTGGATAAGGAAGATATTTCAAACAGAAAGCGAGACTAGAGACTACCCCACCCCATCCCAGGCGGCAGCCCGATCTGGTTCCGTAGGAATAAGCAGGTCTATGCCCTCTGCAGGCTGCGAGCTGGTTAAAGCTGATTATAGCCCGCTTGCCTGACAGCTGCTTCGTCTGTGACCCTAGGGCCTCTCTTAGGAGAAAGCAAGCCAGATCTCCGCCATTGTCTAAGTGTGTGTGTGTTGGAGTGGGGGTGGGGGAGGTCAGGAGGGAAGTCAGGACCTACCTTCAAATTGAATTCGAGGAAGAACCCTTAAAATAATGTCTTTTCCCTTTAATTGCATTGGAGGAGCCAGTGGAGAGGTATTTTTTTCCTCCAGAGTGGAACCCGATTCCAAGCATTTGTCAATTTACACCTATTCCATTTCAGCCCAGAACAAACCTTGCTAAATGAAGCATCATAGACACGCAAGGAAATCAGTTGATTAAAGAAATTCATGGTTCCTTCAAAAGGTCATCATTTTGAAGCTGTCTCTGTGTTGGCGGATGTGCCTGGTCCTCATTCCTCTGGGCTCTCTCCCTGGCCTGCCCCTTGTCTTTCCCCTGTTAGCAGGCACACCCTGCCTGACTACCCTGCCTGACCACCCTGCCTGACCACTGGGCTTCCTCACCTTGTGTATTCAGGCAACAACTCCCCTCTGAATCATGGTGCCCTCTCGGCTCTGGCCCTTTGTTCTCCTGCTCTTCCCAGCCCAGTGGGAAAGCTGAGCTGATTTACCATTACACATGGATACACATGGATGTTCCAGGCAGAGGCAGGTGCTGTAGTGTGTGTGAGAGGAGATATGTAGGTCTACAGTCTGTTGTGGATTTTTTTCCCCCTCTTCTTAAAAAAATTTTTTTTTTTATTTACACAAGACTTTTGATTTTGTTCCTTGTTGGAGAAATCAAAATAAACCACCCCCAATTCAACCTCTGCAACAAAAAAACTCTCCTAAATCAGGTGACCAATTTCATTTTTGTCCTAAAGATGACATCATTAGCCAACTCTTAAGATTTTATTTCTCTAAATTAGTGTTGTAT